GGGTGAATTTAGTTTTACCACGATATGGGAACAACTGCTTGTCAATGGTTACGTTTTCATGCGGCTCATTATTTTTAACGAGGTCTTCGTTCAAAAAACTCCATATATCGCGAATAGGAGCCGCTTTGTCGGATGCTTGACGAAATTGCCGCGTACGACTATCATCGAAACGAATATGTCGGGCCAATGCAAGGAATCGTCTATATGACATTGCAGCAGGAAAGATGGGCAAAGCATCTGAACGCCATAAATGTGCTTACTCTTGCATATTATTGTTTGTAACACCAGCAGCAAAAAGTATACCAATAAATGCATCAAGCTCAGAACTCGTCAAATCAACCCAAACTCTTGGCTTTGAATTTGGATTTTCTTCATTCCATTTTTGAGTATTTTTGCATTTCGATTTTATTCGGTAATAATAATGAAGGAAATATTTGGTGTAAAAAAACTTATGAATACCTCAATCGAAACCGATGTTGAAAGTTTTGGACAAGGTCCGAATCGCATAATAATATGCTTATCATACAAAATATACAGGAGTATGGCCAGACACCAGGTGTCGGAAGAGGAGTTGGATGTGAGTAGGGATGGATATTGGTGGGAGTCATGCTGCGGGGATCTCCTTGAGACCGTAGAGATCTTTTGGTTACCCAAAGTTGGTAAATTTGCTGATGGCACGGCCATGTAGGTTAGGGGCCACTCGTGCGCTGGCAGCATGTGGCTACATAACGAGTGGGCAACTCCCTGTAGGCCTTAAGGCCTTGGCAGACCTTAAGGTGATTCCAACCACCTCACTGCTATTTCCATATTTGACGCAGGCTCAAAAAAATGTCTAACACCATTTAGCAGAACCAGATTGGACTTATACAACGCGACGTACTTATAAATAACGTCAGTTTACATAGGCGTATACGTTTTGCAGGGATACATAGCGGCGTAGAGGCAACTTTTTTTCGTGCTGTCGAAGGCTGTTATAAAATCAACTTAGAGCTGGGATATGTCGATCGTCCTTTCAAGGGGGTATTCTAAGATTTGCCACATAGTAAATATCAGTAAATGGTTAATTTAGTAGGTCTAAAGTAACCCTGATAATGTCAAGCTCTTCATACTCACGCATGTCGTTTTATTTCTACAATTGAATCTTGCTTCCCTCTTCAGCTCTCGGTATCTATCTCACTTTGTGTTGTAGTCGACTGCAAATTTGCGCCGTAAGTGAATATTTGTCTTCTGCCTATCACAACATGATCGATATGGTTGAAAGGTTTTTGATCTAGATTCCTTGGGCTAAAATCCATTCATGAGGACTACTATACTTCGGGCCCTGGCGAAGTCGGTCTGCCTCAACCCATATGAAGATGTTCGTGGTCACAGAGGCTGAGGGATTGCAAATCAGCAACATGCAACTTATTGTAAAACTTTCATCCAACAGGATTAATGCGAGAAATCGGCAACGGAGATTCAACCACTACGAATCAGAAACCGAATTTGCGCTTTTTCATACTGCCGCTGAAGATGATGATGTCGGCCTTTAGTCTTACGATGGCATCAAGCACCAGGCAGTGGCATCCTTTCAATTAAGGAATCTGAAAATTTAGATACATTATCTTAATGAAACCTTTCAATTGAAGCTGTCTTTGGCATGACGGGTACCAAGACCACTTCCTCGCTTTGTGAGTAGGCTATAATTTAGGACTCATTTACAATATGTGTAAATCGCTGGTTGCTCCAAGAGCAGCCAAAATTCTGGTGAACTGACGCTGCAATTAGACTTCAGCAGGCCCTTAAACCGAATAAGTCGGAGTGGCCCCACTGAAGCTTCCTTTCTTTCAGCCGTGAACTAAGGCTCTCCACGGGAGGACGCAATGGTAGTGACTACTGTGAGCTAGACCTACAAGCTTGACTACACCCCATTTCAACCCGGTTTACTTAGGTCCACAATATATTTCCCATTCTATACAGTGAATATTTAAAACCTAATATTATGTTTAAAATTCTCGTGTCAAAGTGTTAGACACGATACTCCTCCGAAATGGCTTTACCGATTTTAATAAGCTTCGTAGATCTAAAAACAGCATAACATCTATTTTTCACACCGGGAAGAAGACCTGCAACTTGCAATTCGGTACATAGGTGTCTTTTTGCTCAGATTAACAGGAGTATTACAATTCTTTCCGGGAAGTGGACCGGTGACAGACCTATTCAAACAGTGTTTGGTTCAATTTACTTAAAACTCGATACATAGGTATTTTATTTGCTTAAGTCAACAGAAAGACTACACTTCTCTCCGGAAAGTGTACTTGGGACTTACCTATTATAAAAAGATTATTAATGGATCGATGGATGTCTTTTTGCTTAAGTTAACAGAGAGGCTCTTTTTCTCGGCGCGAAGCGGAAGCGGACAAGGGGCAGATTCGTTCAAAAAAAGGTTATTCATGGCTGTAGCTACTTAATATTTGGTAAATAGGTGGCTTTTTGCTTCTCTCCGAGAAGTGGACCGGGGACTTGCCTATTGAAAAAGGCGGGATATTCCTCTCTCTCGATCAATGTCAATGGTAAAACCAAAAATTGTATATTCCCCAAGTATTGAGTATATAAAGCCATAACGAAAAAGTTAATTATTAATTTTTCATACATTAGGTAAGTATTTGCGCTAGCGAAGCGTTGCAGGGTACAGCTGGGATATATATGTTTAAAGTATTTAATTGAGGCCTGAAAATCAATGAAGCGATTTTCGACCGAACTCCTCTTCGGAGGGGTTGACATTATCGCAATAACAGAAATTAGATTTATTTTTATTCAAATTAATTTTCGGGCCCTGGCAAGCTTGTCTTATAAGGGAGGCTGTTCCGAAAGTTATTTATTATTATTTTTCAGATTGTTTCTATGATAATTGGGAAAGGTTTTACAAAAAGATATTTAGAGAAGTGGACCAGAGACTGACGCATTCGAAAAAATCCTAAATGTAGTGCGATTAACTTGAAATCCGTTATATACGATTAGGTGTCTATTTGCTTAAGTTTACAGGAAGACTTCTCTTTTGACAGTGGATCAGGGAGTGACCTATTTAAAAGATCTTAGTTATAATTATTCAAATTGGTTGAAAGTTGGTACAAAAGTGGTTTTTGCAAAGATTAACTGGAGCATTACATTATTCTCCTGGAAATGGACCGGGGACTGGCCTAATCAGAAATGCAGACTATTGCTCTCTCTGGGAAATGGACCAATGTCAAAAAACCAAAAATATTTGTATTCCTTAATTTCGTTGTTAATTATTTATTCATACATTCAAAGAGTAGCAACTCGCCAGTGTCCCATTCGACTGCGTCCGAAAGGCTCTGGTGAAGTTATTCAAGTGGTCAGAGACAGTGTTGCCGATAATGCAAATGTGTCATATCGCCAGAGATCTGAGGAGTAAAACGTGTGTTCTGTGAGGAAAATTATGAGGCACACAAAATCCAACTTTCTTGCGACACAAAGTCCAATTTATTTAAAGATTGCTGCCAACGGACAAGCCGGTTCGAGCTTGAGGAACACAAGACGCACACGACATTCACGAAATAACACGGCACGATCAAAAGTCACTGTTTGGTCCGGAATTTGTTCAAAAACTATCACCGGATCGTCGACGGCGCACACCATCGTTGGATGTTCGCGCATTATGTGTGTTCGTAAAGCGTGAAAGAGGTTCGGCAAACTTTTATTTCCAACAAACCGCAGCCATAGCGATGCAGTTTTCCCAGGACACATTGTGCCGAAAAATGACATTTTTTGCGGCTATTTGACAAGTAAAGCTTATGCCAGAAAGTCCAAGACAATCGACGAACTAAAAGGTGACATACAAGCCAAAATAGCTGCTATAACAAGAAGAGTTTTCCAGTTAATCTAAGCAAAATGCCACCTATGCACCGAATTTCAAAAAATTCGAATCATTTTAAAGATTTTTTAATATGTAGGTCTCTGATCCTCTTCCCGGACCTCCCTGTTAATCTAAACATAAAGCCACCTATATACCAAAATTCAAGTAACACAAAAAATAATTAAGATTTATTTGCATACTCTGGTCCACTTTCCAGTTTTTCTGTTAGTCCCAACAAAAGGCCACCTTTGTACAAAATTCCAAGTAAGTCGAACCATGAAAAGGATTTTTTGAAAAGGTCAGTCTCTGTCCCTCTTCCCGGAGAAAAAATTTCTTCCTATTAATCTAAATAAAATGTCACTATGTTCCGATTTTCGAGTAAATCCAAATCCAAATAGGTCAGTCTCTGGCTTATTTCCATGAGAGAAGAAGCAAAATTGTTGCTTACTTTTGGAAAACACAAACGGACATTAGAGCTTTGATTGAATAACCTTCTCAAGAACCATAGAAACAATCTGACAAAATTTTAAGTCAATCGGTCGATAATTTTTGTAGATTTTTGAAGATTACTTGATTTTTATAAAAGGGCATAAGATTTTTATGTGTAGTATAAGATTTAACTATGAGTTTAATTACCTAGCATAAAAAAAGGAAGAGAAAAAGAGTGGAATGAGAAAAGAAAAAGAAAGAAATGAAATACTGGTCAAAAAAATTAACAAATTATAAAAATCACCGATTAAAAAATTGGGAAGCTTATACGTTTTTTACATATGTACATGTATAGATTTTAATGATACAAAAAACAATATTGGTAGAAAATATAGCTTATCATGAACATAGAAAACTTAAATTAATATAGAAAGATAAATTGCGCTTTGAACACTGAACTCAACATGGTTTGAAATAATTTCAACAATTTATTGGCTTGGGTTATTGTTTTTTCACCAGCAAAGCTAATTTACACACTTTTAATAAATTAATCAATTTAATAAGGCGGCCGCAGTAGCCGAGTGGTTAGCATTGCGTATTGCCATCCGGAAGGCCCAGTGCGACCAACATCCATAAGTTACAGAGAATTAATTTAAATAATAAGAATATAACAATGGATTATATGGCTGATATGTTTATTAATAAAATAATCAATTCATACAAACGACCGGGCCTTTAGTTAACTTAATACTTATATCAAATATTATTATATAGAATGGCCATGGATTCCAAAACAGCTCACTAACCAAGCTACTATTAAATTAATTTATTAGCGCACTTAATAGTTGTTGGTTAGTAATGAATTGAAAATACAACAATAAATGATGTTTGGCGCAGTGGCCTGATAAGTCAGGATCCGTTAGTTCGATTCCTGCCTTAAGAAGTCTGATGAGGAGATATGGTGATCTCCGAAACAGCTGTCACCTCTACCATTTCTCTTTGTTGATGTTGTAAATAGTATAAATTGGCAACAAAACAAGGTCGAGCCCCAGAGATAATAGATAAGTTAGTAAGTGTCACATCATATTATTTTTGTTGAGGTTTTTAGCCGTCTACACCTTTCCTGAACTTACAAAATATTTCATTATCAAAATTAGGCTTTGCCAGTTTCAATTCACAATCTGAACTCGATACATAAATTAACATTAAAAAGGAATTATAAGCCTGCCCTTAAGTTTTTCATTTATATTCAGTAACAGATTTTGACACAACAGCTCCCAGCTATCAAACGAAACGAATCGAATTTGATGATATTCCTCAGATGATATTTTACGGCGGTATTAAACGGATTTTTTTATTTATATATGTACAAGGATATGTTTACCAAACCACACATTTTTTATTTGGATTCATTTTGCTATTTGGTTCACATTTGAAAACTTCAGCAAACTCGCGTGTATTCGAAAGTGTTCCAATGACACGGTAAGGAGACGGGGAGTGGGCATCTTTTTCCATTTGTAAAATATTTGTTTCATCTGTAGTACTCGAGCACCAGACCTGGGAAAGTGAGGTAAGATGAAAATGTGATGTGTATATGTAAAGAGCAATTCATAGTCAATGAAAACAAAAAAAAAAAAAACAAAAAACGCAGTACAAGCGTCTCATTAGTATAAAAGTTTCGCTTTGGTCTAGTGATTCGAGATCTTAAGAAAAACTTGTTTTACACTTTTTTTGTACTATTTTTTATTTATAATACATTTAATTTACAATAAATGTATTATTTATTTATGTACACACTAGAAGACCCAGCTACATGTTGTTGTGACTTTCTGTATTTTGTTCAATTCTGATTTTATAATTGGTATTGTAAAGGAAGTCAAGAAAAATTAAATGTCCTACTTAGGATTTAACTATTATAACATACATACATAGCATTGCGTATTGCCATTCGGAGAGTTAAAATCTTGGCGTCGTACTAACTCCCAAAAGGTTACAGAAAATTAAATTAAATAAAAAATTAAGCTAAATTTTGTAATTGCGGTCACGTCTCGGAAAGGAAAGTCAACTCCTCCTTTTTGACATGAAATATCTCCATAAAAAACCATCGGAGACGGCTTAGTATAAACTGTACGTCCCCCATTTGTTGGAAAAACCTCAAGACGCAAAACCTCAAAATGGTGTGAGATATTTATATATATCATTGGTGCTTTGTAACCGCTGAAATGATATTCGACCCAGCTCCTATTCCAAATTGTGGTATGCATCTTGATGTTTTTGCAGCAATAACTTTTATGAGCAGCTTTTTACTTTAAGACAAAAATACACTTTGGTTGCTTGAATTATAATGCCGAAGAGCGACAGCATTTAGAAAATTTTATTTTGGACGACCTTCCGAATGGCAGTACTCAAAGATAACCACTCGACTATTGCGGCCGACTATTAAGCTATTGAAAAATATATGTAAAATAAGCAAACACCCCTTAAAACATATTGCAGCAATATACTAACATAAAAATATATATTTATCGAAATGTTGATCCGTTATCCAAAGTAAGTGGTCCAAAGGACGTGGGCAAGGTGCCTGGCAGGATGATGTCAGCATTCAAATCTGCGCCTAGAAAAATCCGCACTGAACCTGACCGGCCAAAGTGTGGATCAGCCAACCTCATATGGATATACACGTTTTCAAATTCTGGGCCCAAGATACTGCTGGGGCAGACAAGACATAGGTTATCTATCGCCATGACATATGTAGTTAAACGTTTACAAGTTCCATGTTCGCCACGGATGCATAAAAAGCAATCCTTCCGATTCGCGATGCACATTTCTGGGAGCTTTAGTTCGTGCATGAGGACTTTAGAAATAAGTGTATTTGGTACACAGACATCTTTTAGCGCACGTATTAAATGTAGCCAACCTCCTTACTCCACCCTAACGGCGACCGTTGGCGTCACTGCGATCATTGGCAGTTTTGCTTACCCCAAAAGTTAGCTTCCGATCCAGCAGCCGATAGCTTTGCAGAGAGGGTTGGAAAGTCCGACTTTCCACTTCTCTCACTGACGTCGGGCGGAAAGGCCGAGTTTCCGTTCCGAAAAGTTTGCTGGTATCTCCAGGTGGCTGATTCGTAGACTGCGAGCCGTGGTCGGATTCACTTGCATGTATTGATGTCGCGTCGAAGGTTTTTCTGTCTGATCTGTCACGGTAGCGACCAAGTAATGCTTCTCGAAGTCTCTCTTCCAGAGTCATTCACCGGAAAACAGAACACAGGTTAAGAGGGTGCTTTCCCTCGCACCTATCGCTGAAGCGATTTTTCGGCCGAGCTCCTTCTTCAATTTGTGGTCTTGCGTCTGGATATTTTTTTAACAAATGGAGGGACTTAAAGTTTCTACTAAGCCGCCTCCTAATGGCTGATGATTTTTTATAAGGAACTTTATTTCGTGTCCGAAATATACTCGGAGAGGAGGACATTCCCTGCCGAGGGACTGCCGCCATTAGAAAATTTAGTTTAATTTTTGATTTAAGTTAATTTTAAAAAACTTTTGGATTTTGGCTACCGCGGCCGCCGAAAATTATCACCAAATTGTCGCATACTGGCCGCAACAAAAACTTCTTTTGTGTTTGTATGTTCATTTCCTTTGTTTTGCCTAAGCTTCCTATCACTCCAAGCGTAGGCAGTGGCATCTGTCGGCAAATAGTTGCATTATTTGAAGCCATGGATTGATAGCACGGTTGCATTCGGTGTGTACCTACTCAGTGGTACAAGTCTCCAAAAGGAGGTGTTCCTCAAAACTGTTCCTCCACTAACAAATATTAGGGCAACGGAATGCTTTGCGCGGGAATTCCGTAAATAAGGGGGGTCTCCTTTTTCTTTAATGCGGCGAGGGGAAAATTGTCCCAGTGTACATGGTGTGCCATGTTGGCGTGCGCTATACTACCCGGTCCCTTTAGGTGATGGGGGCGGCGCCAAATGATTGGGCGCCAATACACACTCGCAAGAGAATTTTGAAGGCCGACGCATAGCTTGCGACCTGGCTCGTAAGTGCGTGACGGATCAGATTCTTGCAATCTTCCAAAGTGCAAACACCCTTTTTACGCAGGCGTGCGATTTGTTTTAGAAAAAAATAATAATAAATAAATAAATAAATAACAGTGCCGCCAGTAAAGGCGAAAGTGATTATTTTTTGAGTTTAGCCAAAAGAGGCAAAGAAGGCAGTTGAAGCCCCACCATTGATGGGAGTTTGTTTTCAGTGGCGGGACCGGAGTTCGACGGCACCACCGCTTTTGTCGTGCCGACAATGTCGTTCACTCCGTTCATCCTGACCCATCGTTATGGCATTCCCCACCCAGATCCCAGTCATACAGGCGGGTTAAAGTTACCTCCGGCAGCACAGGAGTAGTGCGAGTGGGTTCGTTACCAGTTTGGTTGGACCACACCTCGGGTGCACCCAAAAACATATTTTGTTTCATTGTTTTAAGTAGTTCCAATTTGCTGTCTTGCTATTTTTTTTTATATCGGCGTTAGTAAGATCAACTTGGTGTTGTTTTTCTTCCTTGACGAACAGTTTTGCTATTGTACGCAGCTACCGACCCACGCCGTCTTCACTAAGTTAACACAGGTAACCAATCATCCGGCCAAATATCCACGGAAACTGCTGACGATGCGTCTACAACTTTGCATGTAACAACAATGAAAAACTCAATACTGCAATAATAACCAGCAGTAAGGCATCCGGCCATATTGCTGACCGAACACTTATAGTCTTGCGCGTGACAACAACAAACCAAATGAAATGCTCTATACTGCAATAATAACCAACAGTAACGCATCCGGCCATATTGCTGACCGAACACTTATAGTCTTGCGCGTGACAACAACAAACCAAATACAAACCAAAATTCGGAATTGGTTCACGCGGCTAATAACGTGCAGCAACTAAAGTTAGGACAAGTAATGTAGGTATTTAGACGCTAGCGTCGCCCTTGTGTAATTCAGTTATAACAACTCATCCGCTGAGACCGGCTGCCCTTGTCAATACAAGGGAAATAAAGAAAAAACAAAAACATAAAGTGATTGTTTTTCTGGCGCCCAACGTGGGGCCAAACAAAAAAACTCCTTGTAAAGGACACGAACGTTTGGCCGTGGGTTCGAACCCACCTCCTGAAAAACTCTCAGTACTAGAAGTGCCAATAGTCCAAGTTTAAACATTCAGGACACCAGTACCACCATAGAAGTGCCAATAGTCCAAGTGAAAATATTCAGGACACCAGTGCCACCATAGAAGTGCCAATAGTCCAAGTGAAATATTCAGGACATCAGTGCCACCATAGAACTGCCAATAGTCCAAGTGAAAATATTCAGGACACCTGCGCCACCATAGAAGTGCCAATAGTACAAGTGAAAATATTCAAGACAAAAGTGCCACCATAAAAGTGCCAATAGTCCAAGTAAAATATTCAGGACACCAGCGCCACCATAGAAGTGCCAATAGTCCAAGTGAAAATATTCAAGACAGAAGTGCCACCATAGAAGTGCCACAATAGTACAATAGTCCAAGTGAAAAAACATTAAGTGAAACACCAGTGCCACCATATAGGTGCCACTATAAATATATAAAAGAACTCAGTAAGAAATATATTTGAAGCATTGCACGCCGAAGGCGTTGCCAAAAATACAGCAATCAGGATACACGGGGACAACCAGCATTTATATGAACATGGAAATATTCATGTAAGTAGAAAGGTCAGCAGTTAAATATATTTATCAATAAAATGTAAAAACAGATTCCCATTCAAAATTTTGAAAAAATTAAAAATAGTGTTTGAATCAAAGATAATGGACTCCCAGACTCTCCAAACTCTTCTAAATACCGCAATCCGTGCGGCAACCGAACATTCCAGGCAAGAATTTCAGACCCGCGTAGACGAGCTTACAAACATTGAGACCCCAACTCAGGTGATTCAATATGAACCGGTTACAATCGAACCAAATGTATTGTGTGACGAATCCCTAGATCTAGTAAAAACCATGCCGGAATTCAAGGGTGATCCTACCCGTTATGTCTCCTGGAGACAAGCGGCGCACACGGCATATAAAGTATTCGAAGGATACCAAGGTAGTTCTAAGCACTACCAGGCAGTAGGCATCATAAGAAACAAAGTGGTAGAGGCAGCGGACAGTGTACTTTCGTCCTTCAACACAGTCTTGAATTTCAAGGCAATTATTGCAAGGCTAGATTTTGCATACGCCGATAATCTAATAGAACAAGAGCTGTCTACCTTACGGCAGGGTAAGCTATCAGTGATAGCGTTCTACCATGAGGTCGAAAGGAAACTGACCCTCATAATAAATAAAACGATCATGACTCACGGTGGAAATGCCTCCCTAATAGAGTCACTCAACAGTAAATACCGCGAGGATGCTCTCCGTATTTTTATTTCGGGATTCAATCGTCCTTAATGTGATATACTGTTTTCCTCCAGGCCTAATGACCTTCCCTCCGCTTTAGCTTTAGCACAGGACCTTGTATAAAATCAAGCCAGGTCCATGTTCGCCCAGT